TTTTAAAATATATCAAAGTTTATTAGTATATCGCTATTAACCAACTTTGCGTTGAATTTTCATCGATGTTAAGCCTAACAAAAATTTTTAAAAATAATAATCGTCGCTATTGTATCGTTAAAAATTATTTTTAAATTATTTTATTGCTCACAAAACAAACCACCACTCGTAATTAGAAAATTAAGTCTCGTTTAAATACTGGCCTCCCTTTCATGGTTGAGCCAGTGTTGCCAGCTAAAACAATCAAAAATTTAACAAAAATAATATTAAAGTAGCCAAGACATAGCCAAATATTGTAGCGCCACATCACTAGCAGACATTTGAATTTGTCGACTAGAACGCGGTCGGTTAACCGAGGTGACGGTTAATCGGGGGTCAGATAATCGATGCTCTACTGTATATGTAATTACATTGTTAAGTTGACATTTATTCATTACGCAAAGTGTATATGATGCATGAATAGTGTCAAGTTTTAATTTTGAATGTTTTTTTCCCCTAAAATATTAGTTACAAATAATTATAGTGAAAAATAACTGATTTATTTTAATCCAATTAATAAGTATTGTGATTCACCCATTCAAACAATTCAACTAATGGAGAGTGATAAATATAATTTATTTAAAAAATAATTTATGTAACATGTTATATAAATAGTCAATCATAATTACTCATATTACAATCAAACTAGATGTTTAATGGGTTCTAGTTAGTAATTATTTTTGTTTGTTTTTTTATTAACAAAATAATAAATCATGTTATTTATGTATAAATTTCATAAAAAAAAGGAAAAAACAAAAGAACGTTTTAAAAATTCTCTCTTAATTTTTACCTTTAGGTTCAGGAGGTGGTTCTAATCCCAATCTAATTTTTTCTTGTTTCTCTTTCCAAGTCTCTCTTCTATTTTGTCTTCTCAACTTCTTCCTTTCTTTCTTTGTTAAGTAGACGGGAAGAAACGACGGTTTTAAAGGATCAGCTAGAAGAAATCAAAAAGATAACGACCTCAATTTATTAAAACAATTACAAAAATGGTTAATTACTTTGTCTTCATTTTTACTCTAGTGAATTATAACTGATTATTACTAAGAGTTTTTAAAAATGTATATAGCCACTCTCCAACTTAAGCATATTTGACCTTTTCAGTTGTATTTAAAGTTTGGTCAACATAAATTATCTGGTTTTTTACTTTTTGGAAGAAGTATTCCAACACTATTCATTTATTAGTGTATAAATCTATTAATTTACTTTTTTAAAGCATATGAACATGATTAAACCAATAATTTTAATTAAATTAGTTGTTTAGATGAAAATTTTGCTTGTCTTTTACAGTTTTGTCTACCACTATGTATTTATATACACATACACACACACACAACCTATTATACACACCATATATATAGTGTGTATGTGTGGCATAGAGGAAGTTCTACACCACTTGCCACAGTCCCATCTGTAATTTGCATCAAGTGATTTTTTTATTTGACCTGTTCCAATAACTTTTCTATTAAATAATTAATTATAAAAGCTGTAAAAAATAGACAAACATACTTGGAGCTTTCATTTGTGTTGGATGTTCCACCAAACTGGTTACACCTTCAAAGTGTTCTTCTTCTAATTCACTACCTGTTGTAACTTTGTCATAACTGAAATAATCAAAATACTCCATCCAATAAATTAGGTTTTGAACAAATTTAATTAAAATACTAATTAAAACAACCAGTATAAAAGTCAATCAAAGTTTTCTCAAAAATTCTAATGTTTTAAATCCGAGAATTTTGTACAAATAATTTCTATAATTATCCAAAACTCTTAACATTTCATACTTTAAAATAGAAAGTGATAACTTTTATACAGCTTGTAAAATTACAGAGACATTCAATATAAAAAAATAAATTCCAAAAAAATAATTTGCAAAACTAGATACTCAAGTCTTGCATGAAATGTTTTAATTTCTTGAAAATTATAATCAAATTAATGATAAATATCTGTTCGTTTATTTGAATTTTCATCTGTAATTTATATTTATTAGCCTAATAATTAAAAATAAATTTGTTTAAAAACACATTGACAAAAAAAAAAAACTGTTATTTAAGAAGTCGACCCTTATTTTATCAAAATGTTTTTGGGATATCAAATTTTTAATGAAACATTGTGAAGATCACCAAAAATAAGGTCTTTACCTTCCCGTCTTTGGCAATCTACACCAAATATCTTTGTTATTTCAAACAATATAAGCAACTGAAGAATAGAAGTTAAGGCTTTCTAAAAATGTTTTGACAAAATAAGAGAGTTGGCTCCTTAAATAATGGTTTGTTCTTTAGTATGAATAATAAAGAGTTCTTCTTTCATTGTTTAGTAAATTTGTTTACTTCTCTAAACAGGTTTTTCTTGTAAAGGGTAATAGGAAAAAAACTACATTACAATTTGAATAATACAGATAAAAATTTAAATTTTTTGACATATACATATTAAAATTGCAATCATGAAGACTGTAATCAGTATCAAAGTTATGCAATAAAATTATAAAAACACATAGATGTCTATTTGATTTCAATTAAATTAACTAGTCCATTTAGAAGTTATTGAAAAGATAATTTTATCTAAACTATGTATAAAGCAAATATCAATTTAATTCTAAGTCGACTGCCGGGCGTGTCTGACGTCGGTTTGCCTCGGAGGGGGTGCCTGAAGCACACCGTATCTTACCTCTCCCCTTTCATGATGAACGAGTCCCACCATTCAATCTCGGGAACTTCCCCCTCTTTCTATATAAAGAAGGGTATAATACAAGTTAATGTCAGCTCTTTTATAATGTTATAAAATTAATTTAAAATTATGCTTGTGACAGGGCTGTGAGTAAAATGAGGTAGCCAAGTATTTGTTATATAGCAGAGATTTTTAATTTTTGATATTTTAAAAATCTCATTAGAAAAAGAAAAAATTCCGCAAGTTAAGGTTAATTATCAGAAAAAAGTTTATCAATGTCTCCCGAGATAGCAATCTAGGTTAAGTTTTTGATGATATCATTGCAAATTAAATAAAGATTTTATAAAATATATACCATCAAATTATATGAAATATTTAAATTAAATCTTAAATTAAAATATACAGTAATTACATTTAAGCATATACTGTATGATCTTCATCTATAATTAACTGTAAATTAAACATAAAATTTTAATTTAATAAAATGTATCATATAGTTAACATGCAACAAACCTTATATACTTTTACAGCAGAATAATACTTTTTAATACACAGCAGCAAACATTTTTGGCCTCATTTGGTGGCATGCATTGGGCTTACACAGTAGAAACAAAATTCAAGCCAAGAATTCCAAATATAGAATGTTTTTAAGATTTACTTTTAATTGCATTATAGGTGAATATGTATAATTTCAAAAATCCTGTAATCATTTAAATGCAGGGACATAAAAGAACAACCTTAAGAACATTTTGAATTCGGGATTCTTGGCTTGCATTTTATGTTTCTTCTGTGTACGTCTGATGCAAATCTCAAAATGAGACTGAAAACATTTGCTACCTATTATAAAGGTAAGATAAAAAAAAAAAAGTGTTTTCAAGCAAAAATCGAGTTGTGATTGTTCAGTTGTTTTTGATGAATCAAAAGAAAAACGAAAAGTTGCAGAAAGGTGCAATTATGTTAGTTGCTAAACAATTTGAATGTAACAGAATGACCATATCAAGAATTTGGATAATATGTTTCTGTTACTTCAACAAGTTATGCTGGAAGCAATGAAAAATGATGCCTCTAATAATTTTAAGCTCACTCATATATGGAAAGCAAAGCTTTGAAGCCAAGAGATCCTACCTATAACTTTAAAATGCAGTAATGAAATTATTGAAACATCCAGAAACTATCTGAACACTCAAAATGAAAATGAGGAATAATATTTTTAATTCATTGTTTAATTTAATTTTTTGATAATAAATGTTGCATTCTATATTTATTTATTTTTTGCTATTATTATTATGGGATAAAATTTTTTTGCTATTATTATTATGGGATTAAATTCATTAACTGCTACTATTATTATGGGACAGAGGGCATAATTATTTGTAAGCAAAAAAAAAATGAATCACAACTACCTAATAATGACTTGTTACAGTCTTGAATTTAACACAATCTTTTGAATTTATGTATGTTAAAATATCCTTAAATTCAAATTCAAAAGATATACAACTTGGAGAATGCCAATTCAGAAATCAAAATTTTAAGAGTTGTATATAAATGGCACTTATTCAAGTTACATATACAAAAACATTGCATATACTCACTAAAAATACAGCAAAACAGTCTTTATAAGTACCCTATAGATGAAAAGCAGTTAAAAAGCAATTGTATTCTACAACTGTGTCACATTTATGCAAACCATTTAATATACTTTGATTTTTTTTAAACTATTTAGCATGCAATCTATAAAATCCCTATATCATAAATATACATATAACTAAAGAATTACCAGATTTTATGGACTAATTCTGGTAAAAAGAAATTAACAAGACACCTTTCTTCAAGATTACCTGAATAAATTAAAATTATTAATAGATAAAGACTATACCTGGATTAAGATGAAACGTAAGCAATAACTTCTGTTCAACAGTACCAAAATGCAATTAAAATCTGACAGACTTTTGATTTCATATTAGATAAATTGGACCGACATATGCTGTTAAGTAAATGATTACACATTCTAAGGAACACAAGTTAAGGTTAAATGACTGTCGACAGAGAATCTACGTATTCCATACTGTTACCGACTTATTGTAGACAATTTAGAGATACACATTTAAATAAAATAACCAGAAATATATCCAACCAAAGTGTGTAGGTGTTGCTCCAAGAAGATTTTGTTCTTGGCATTTCTAAATTAGTTAGTGCTGGATTATTAAAATTATTAACGAGATGGCAATTTTGCCTATCTTAATAAATTTGAATCATTAATTTTCATTTAACAAAAGCATGACACTATAAAAATCTGGCAATATTTCTGATGACAAATTGATATTTATTGGTATTAAATAGATTTCAATTTTAAAAACTTCAATAAAATATAATTAATTTAAGAAAATTATGCTGATATTTAACCTACAAGATAGTTCGACCACAAAACGAGAAACAAATGAAAATATATACTTAGCCAATTCTATGAACCACACTATGTATCAATATTGTTTGGCATAATTAATGTAAATTAGTATCAATTTTCTATTGTTAATAATTTAAAAATGTGGAATTTACTTTTCCATACTGACATTACTAAACCTTTTTTTAAATAACTTCAGTGCAATCAATTATAACAAAAAATATCAATTTTAACTTTGATTCTAAATACTTAAACATTTATTTCTTATCGACATTGTCAATAAACACCAAGAAATACATATTACAAATATAAGACTACACAATAACATAATGCACCAATATAATAGAATTAATAGTGATTTGACATAGGGTTCCTTTTATTAAATTGTATTAAGGTGATACAATTCATATAGATTTTATAGGATAACTTTTTCCATCATTATTAATTATTACAAACTTTTCACAGCATCATTGCTACAAAGTTATCTGTGGTAATTATAGTTTTGTACAATCAAAGCAGTTTAATTTACCAAAGAATTTCGATAACCCGTACTCACGTAAGAATTAATAATACTTTTCCTTAAAATATCATGCATAGTTGCTAAAAATTAATAAACATTTTTGCTTTTGCTATCCAAAATGTCTTTGGATCAAAATATGTAGATCAAATTACAGATACTGTAAATATTTAATTATTTGAATATTTATTTGAAATTTTGATCCAAATTCCAAATGTGCTTTAAATAATAGAAGCAAAAGTACTTGAGAATCAAAAATAGAACTTCCGAAAAACAGAGAAAGAAGTTTAACAATGTCACAAGTCAAATGCGGAGACGTCCCGACTCGACNATCGTTCCGTATGTGTTTCAAAATGTCTTTTAAATTACTAACAACAAATATGAAAGACTAAGTGCAACGTTGTAACAAATTTCATTTCCGTCCAAGTTAAGAATGATATGACTCATCGAAACTGCGCGAACGAACATAAACAGTGGCGTAATCGTCCGTTATTGACCGACTCCAGACCGATTTTGAATTTGTAAACTGTCATTGCAACGGACAGTTGACATTGTGCTCTGGAGGAAACAATTTGTATCACTCTTGCTACGGATATAATTTGTATTCTGGAATTTTTGCATACCTTATAATACGTATTTAATTGCGGCTCGCAAAAAATTTCAAATTTTGAAAAATGGCTCGGACTATCAAGGAGCTTAGCCACCCTGGGTCTATAATAAAACTCAAAACATAATAAAAATAAAGAACACAACAATAAAAAAGCACAGTGTGTGAGACTATATATATTTTGAAGTTCAAAAATCGAAAAACATATAATTAAAAAATATGACGACTAGCACTTATGATACAGCAAACTATTTGTAATTATTTCTACACTCACACTTGTATTATATTAAAGATTCATTAAAAATTAGATTAAAATTTCACAAACTTCATTGTCAGACACTATTTCTCAACATTTTCAAATTTTTTTTTGCAGTTGGTAAGCTGACCATAATTACACACAAATGTTTGTGTAATCTATAAATTATTAAAATTGCTTAAAAGATTACAGACTTTAAAGGAATAATTTTATTGTCATATTATTATAACAACCTAAGTCATTAAATTTTGATTTTTATATTTGATCCTAAAATATGAGCTACATTTTTTTTTATCATTTGATATCAATGAGAGCTTACCTAATATCAAAATTAAACAAGAAAAAACATTTTTTACATTGACATCATATTTAACAAACAGTCAATTAACTATATTTCAAAAAGTTAAGTAATTTCCTAAACATTTTGAAATTCAAGATATTTAAAAATAATAAAATTTTTAAAATCTTTTTAGTTTTTCCATCTGTTTTTAAAAACTGAAATTCAGTCAAACTTCAATTTACAGCTATCATTTGTTCACCTCTGAAGCTGGCATTAAATTGAGGTTAGGGCAAAAATGAAGTACATAAAACAACAAAAATTATATATAGCAATGAGGCCTACACATAAGTTTAAATAAATAGGGTTTGGTGATAATGAATTGTCATGCGAGTCATGTGGTTTGATGAAAATGTCATTGGCAATGAAAAATCATTTGTTTAGTAATTCAAAAATACTAAAAGGTTCTTTCTCTAATGTTTATGTGGGTAATCCATTTCACATATATCAATGTTTGACTCTACAGTGAAACTTCATTTTGAGTTAATTCTGTTAATTTGTTTTTGAAGATGAAATACCAAATTCCAGAATATTGAAGAAGAAAAATTTTTGAAGCAATGCAAGTTTACATTTTCCCTCCTACAGTTAAAATATTTAAAACACTTCATTTTAAATTAGCCAATAAGAAGAGCTTTGATTTGATCATCTTCGTATTGGATAATTAAAACTTAAATATTAAACAAATATAAAACTATTGAACAAAGAAATATATTCAAATTTCTTAATTAATCTGAATGATCTTATCTATCATTAAATAATTTTAATAAATGTTCGGTCTCTGAATTTTCACACATAATTAAGTGTATCAATATGAGTATTATTAAATTTTAATTTTAGATGTACTGAAATTTTTCTCCATATTTTTTTTTCTTTCTTTTGGAATCTTTCTGTTAAATAGCACAGTATAATATTAATACAAATAAATCAGTAGTTTATAAATTATTTAACTTTAATTTTCATTAAAATTAAATATAAGACATTTCCTGCAGAATGCCTTCCCAATAGACGTTTCTGGGTATTTAATACCAAATTTTACAGAACGCACGTCTCTCTTGGTACAACATTTTTTGGCAAATGTTCATATGGAAAAATTTAATTTATTTGTATTGTATTTAGAATTCAATTCAAGACTTATCTTGCATATTGGTTTTGTTAACCTTCCAGTACTAATATGACTATACAGAAAAAAATACTATTGTCAGTCTCTGAGACCATTGTAAAACTAACATTACCTTTATTTATATTTTCAATTGTATGAATCTTTATCTTTTCATGCCATAGCTGATGTTGTGTTGCATTCTGATGTTTTTTTTTTGTTATTTTATTGAAATAGCTTTTGTTTGTAAAAAATTGAATGCTGTAATATTTTGTAGTTTTACTTTACTCATAAAAGTCAATAAATTATATATTCTATACTATTCTAAACAAGTTAACAAAGTTGTTATTCTGTAAATGACTTCTGTTTACAAGTTGCAAAAGGTATAGAAAATAAATGATGAACTAAAGATGTTTTCATGTTCTGCTCAAATATTCACTATGTACAACCACATTGTGCTAGAGATATATACACTTGGACTCTACACACTTATAATTTGTCTTGCAATTTTTGTTTTGTGGTTTTGTTTTTTCAGGTTCCACATTCAGTATTTTCTAATTGTCAATTGAGTCAATCATGAAACACAGCGTGTCTGTGTCTTTCTATAATCTATAAGTCAAGTGTCAAACCTAGTCCATATACATGTTTATCAATGTAATCTACATTATATTCTAAAATGTCTATAACAGTGGTGGCCATCCTGCGGCTCACGAGCCACATGCGGCTCTTTGAAGGATTATTTGTGGCTCTCGATAGATGTACCTGAGTTCCCTTTTCATTTTTGTGTTATTATATTTTAAAAAATTATTATCGTTTTGTATGTGTTTCAAAATGTCTTTTAAATTACTAACAACAAATATGAAAGACTAAGTGCAACGTTGTAACAAATTTCATTTCCGTCCAAGTTAAGAATGATATGACTCATCGAAACTGCGCGAACGAACATAAACAGTGGCGTAATCGTCCGTTATTGACCGACTCCAGACCGATTTTGAATTTGTAAACTGTCATTGCAACGGACAGTTGACAGACATTGTGCTCTGGAGGAAACAATTTGTATCACTCTTGCTACGGATATAATTTGTATTCTGGAATTTTTGCATACCTTATAATACGTATTTAATTGCGGCTCGCAAAAAATTTCAAATTTTGAAAAATGGCTCGGACTATCAAGGAGCTTAGCCACCCTGGGTCTATAATAAAACTCAAAACATAATAAAAATAAAGAACACAACAATAAAAAAGCACAGTGTGTGAGACTATATATATTTTGAAGTTCAAAAATCGAAAAACATATAATTAAAAAATATGACGACTAGCACTTATGATACAGCAAAATATTTGTAATTATTTCTACACTCACACTTGTATTATATTAAAGATTCATTAAAAATTAGATTAAAATTTCACAAACTTCATTGTCAGACACTATTTCTCAACATTTTCAAATTTTTTTTTGCAGTTGGTAAGCTGACCATAATTACACACAAATGTTTGTGTAATCTATAAATTATTAAAATTGCTTAAAAGATTACAGACTTTAAAGGAATAATTTTATTGTCATATTATTATAACAACCTAAGTCATTAAATTTTGATTTTTATATTTGATCCTAAAATATGAGCTACATTTTTTTTTATCATTTGATATCAATGAGAGCTTACCTAATATCAAAATTAAACAAGAAAAAACATTTTTTACATTGACATCATATTTAACAAACAGTCAATTAACTATATTTCAAAAAGTTAAGTAATTTCCTAAACATTTTGAAATTCAAGATATTTAAAAATAATAAAATTTTTAAAATCTTTTTAGTTTTTCCATCTGTTTTTAAAAACTGAAATTCAGTCAAACTTCAATTTACAGCTATCATTTGTTCACCTCTGAAGCTGGCATTAAATTGAGGTTAGGGCAAAAATGAAGTACATAAAACAACAAAAATTATATATAGCAATGAGGCCTACACATAAGTTTAAATAAATTGGGTTTGGTGATAATGAATTGTCATGCGAGTCATGTGGTTTGATGAAAATGTCATTGGCAATGAAAAATCATTTGTTTAGTAATTCAAAAATACTAAAAGGTTCTTTCTCTAATGTTTATGTGGGTAATCCATTTCACATATATCAATGTTTGACTCTACAGTGAAACTTCATTTTGAGTTAATTCTGTTAATTTGTTTTTGAAGATGAAATACCAAATTCCAGAATATTGAAGAAGAAAAATTTTTGAAGCAAGGCTAATTGAAAATAATTAATGATAAATAGATCATTTCATGTTTATTTAACTATATATTTCTATTCTTAATTGAAACTATTATTAAAGTCAAAACAGCAAAAAAAATTTATTATACCTTCATATAAGAATAGGCCCTGCCATTGAAGACAATTTCTTAAAACTCTGTAAAAGTTTAAGAGAGCAAGGATAGTAGTATATTATCTAAATCCTGCTTCATTTGTACAATACACAATAATAATATATTTTTTAAACTGATTTCTTTTTACAATATAACTTCATAACAGATTCTTACATTTTGTAAGATATCTCACCAGAAATTTTCAGTGTTTGTTTATATATTATAATTTTGAATAAATGGCAGGTTGATATTCTAATTTTTATTTATTGATGTATGTTAATAATATACTTACATATTCTTTCTTGGGTGTGACAAGAGCTAATTTCGTAGCTGAAGAAATTCCAGTCTTTTTAGCAGCTTGGGCAATTTCTTGTTGCAGTCGTTCTAACTGACACTGAAAAATTTAGAAGAATACTTTCAGTTAGAAAGAAATTATATTTTTATTCTCCAAAAATAACTAGTTTAATATATAATATAAAAATAATGTCAATATTAATCTCATTTATAATTTTTATCATCAAAATACTAATGACAAATTTCATTAGAGATTTAGTTGAGAAGTAATTACAAATAATTTATTGAATTATTATTTCCAGCACACGGTATGCTATAGAATCTGCTTCAATTACAGCTATTATGACTAAGCCTAATCCACAATGCAATCAACCAATGTGGACTAAAGATGAAGAATAATATCTCAATCTACACCACCTATGATATATTTTAAAGGGGATCTTGGTCTGAGTTTGAACCTAGATCTCCACAGCAGTAGGATAGCACCTTAACACATGATCATCTAGTTGACTATCGATTATCAGGAATAAATAGTGATAGGACAATTAATTGGAATCAGAAATAGAACATTTTTTGAGCATCAAAATCGAAATCAAGCAAATCTTGTCACAATTTCCAATTCTTAAAATGATTCTTTCACATTTAACAAGAAAATTAATTATTTGTTTCAGTCAAAGATTAAAATTTTTTTAAAATTACAATATTAACAATTAAGTATTAATTTATTGGAAACTTTCATGCTGCCAAAGCAGAAAGTATGCAACATCTATATATGAAGTAATGTCTGTCATGGTGGACTTTTCTTTCTCATAGTCAGAGCAACAAGAGATTGCACTCTGTCAGTACTAACTGTCCCCATTTTAGGGGAGACAAGGTGACATTAGTTTGCTACCCAACCAGTATTGGGTCAGCTTGACCAGCAATTTTAAATTAAAGCCAGTGGTTGACAAAAATATTTAAGTGTTCACAAGAGAGTTTAAAATATAAACAAAATTATGTTTTAATTGAAAAAATATTATATAAAATAGTTTCTAATGTTTTGTATGTTTACTTATAATGATAAAATACTTGAACAGCAATGTAAATACTTTTTTCAGTAACACTATTTTATTTAAAGGTGCATTTTAGACCCCTTTTTACAGGTCTGTGTCAAGTTTAACAGTAAGATTAAAACTGTTTAAGACAACAGTTCAAATTTTCTTGTTAAATCTGACACAGACCTATATAAATAGGTAAAGAATGCTAGTTTAAATACTTTTCTAGTGACACTTTATTTAATTTGTTGTTCAATCTAAATCAGTTTTAGCCTATATAGAAGTATTTTTTTAATGATAAAACAACTTTTCCATTATAACCATGAATGTTTTTGTTATGAACTATAGATGATGTAATACAGTAGAATCCCCTTTAATCCGTCACCTTTGGGACTGGGGGTATGGTTGGAATGCAAAAAAGGTCGGATTATCAGAAAAAAGTAAAATAAACAATCTTCCCCTTTGTCCAGTCTTTGTAGCACTGCTAATTTTTCATTTAATGAAAGAGTAACGTGTTTACGTTTCACCCGACATGTTGAAAACACACACAAAACTGTACATGTACACACAATGTAAAACATATACTGTAACGAACACAGAAAAACTCCACAGACGGTGAGTCACCGATGAGTCGGGACAAGTTTCTCAACTCCGACCACGGTCGGATTAACCGGAGTGATGGACTAGCCGAGGGCGGACTAGAGGGGTTCTACTGTATGTTAAATTTTCAAATGCGATTTGCACGATTCTAAGTAAAAATAAATGTTCACACTAAATTCACAGTAGTTTTGAGTTTTAATTTAATTGATTTTACTTTTCCAGCTCGTTATATTTCCCCTCTGATATATCTCTACCAGAGGGTAAATATGGCCATTGATCAAAAAATGACCTCCCAAGATTTTTACATTTTTGGACTCAAAATCTCAAACTTCGAGAAATGCAAAAAAAATTCAGAGGTTTTTTTCTGCATGTGTGTGTGAAGGTGAGCCAATTTTGTTCACCCTCTTTGAAGCTTAATAACTCCTGTTTTTTTTTTTTTTGTCAAAAATTTCTGAAATTTTGCAGGGAGGTTTGTGTATTAAGGGAATTGATGCTATTAAATTTTGGTGATTAACAGTCCCTCTTGGGGAGATAAAGGGGGTCATGTGTATCTCCAGTAATGTCAGACTTAATGACGATTTTTACTGGTTGTTGGCATTTAAATTTTTTTTATAAAACTCATCCCTACCCTAAAAATTAAGTTTTTTGCCATTTTAAGATATTTAAATTTAAAAACTTTTTATATTTTTAACTAAATTATTATAACAGATTGTGCCACCAAATATTGCAAGGAAAGTTAAGCATCTCATTGCTGGATTTTTTTATTCATTGTTTTCATGTTTTAATTTATTATTGGGGTATTTTTACCTTAAATTATGTGTATTTGCTGTTTTAAGTTTATTGAAACAGGTACTATTTAGGTTTTGGGACTGGATTAATTCAGTTTCCATTATTTCTAATGGGAAAAATGTATTCAGACTTTGAATGGCCTCATGAAATTAATTAAATTTAAAGTACAAGGCACCACTGAAATTGCAACAAAAATATATAGACTAATTTTATACAGGGTAGAATTGTAAAGTCAAATTAGTTAAACAAGAAAGACATCATTATTCTTACTTTTGCTCAACATTTTGATTGATTCATTTTACAACAAAATGGCTCTTTCTAAAACCAAAATTACGAATGTTGCTGGTGCTGAATTAGTACTTTATAACCAACTTATTAGTATCAATACTTCATTTAGCTTACTCAACTTTACAAACATATCCCCCATTTATCAATTAGAGTGGCAAGGTCCTTGAGAGCCAATGAATACCACCCAAAAAATCAATTAGCATATCTTCACCACAAACTAATATAAAATCAGCAATAAATAACCATAAATATTAAATAATAAAAAATTTGAAGCAAATTAGAAAAACTTACTAACTGAAATACTTAAGCAGTTGACTAATAAAAATTATCTTCAATTTTTAATAGCATACCTTTGTCCTCAATCTCTGTGCCTGTTGTTCAAACTTCCCTTTTTCGTAGAACCGAAACGATCTCTTATTTCGCTGATAAATTTTGGTACTGAAATTACATTAATTTTGTTATTTGATAAAGTTTTCATACAATCATTTAGAAAAATTTAATATTAATAAATCTAACAAATAGAATACAACCTGTAAAAGCTAGAATTGCATGGTACTATGAAAAGTTTCTGGCTTAAGCAAGTCTTCTGCCTTAGGCAGGATGGAATTAGAATATGATCACAGGTTCAGCTTCAATGTGTGATATTTTTTTTAATTACCAAATTTTAATCTAGACACTGTATTTGCTATATTTATCAAAATTTACTCAAAAGTTTCTATTGAACTACAGTCAAAAGGATATCTCACAATGATATTTACTCTAGTTGCAAGGTCCTATCTCAATTTGAAAAATAACAGATATTCTACAAAAACAGCCATTCATACCTTTAATTAAATGCAGTCAAATTTTTGGTCATTTTAAATGCCCTTCTTCATGATAAAAACCAATTACAATTTAAAAATACATATAAAAATAATAAAAAAAAAATACAAAGTAAAAACATAATAAGATACACAGAAGTGTGGCAAATATATAAAACATCTTCGAGAGGGCAAACAATAAATGATAAAGATGGAGACGCAATATCCAGTGCATGGAAGTCACCAATAGATGTGAACAAGGATGCTAAAGTACAGAGGTGGGAAATGTCATGTATTTTATCTTTAAGGTCATTTTATTTTTGTCGTTTTTGTTTTTATTTTTTACTTTTATATATTTATATGTAAATCTGACACATACATGTTAACTTTTGATGTTTGAATATGTCATTTTTGTCAATTTATATTTTAAATCTGTGTAGAAATCCAACATGTGCGGTTAAAAGGCTGGGATTATAAAGCACTAAAATTTGAAATGCAAATTGTTCCAGAGGACAGCTTTCATTCTTATTTGTAAATTGTAATTTGTTTTTATCCTGAGGAAGGGTGTTTAAAATGACCAAAAACATTAGAGAAATTAAAATTTACACTGCATTTAAAGTTATGAATGGCTTATTTTGTAGTTTATGATGAATGCAGTTTTAATGAATAGCAGATATTCTTTGCTGGCACACACAACAACCAAAAGATAAATGTTACAACTTGTAAAATTTAGTGTATAGTTAGATGCATTAAATTTTAGATAGATGAAAAGATATGGGTATGTTTCATATGTTTTATAGGTGGAATAGTTCTACTATTTAAAATTATTGAAAGTTGTAAAACAGTTATAGTGAATGATATCAAATTCTACAGTAAATTGTCCCAGTTATCATTATAAAAACTATAATTTTGAACATAATTTGTTTTAAAAATCAGATTTTCATAAATAAATATTTAAACACTATTAATAACAAGTATCAAATGAGTAAAGGAAGTAAGGTGTTTGAGGACAGTTACTTCCTTTACTCATACAGTTCCAGAAACAGTAACTGCAGAGAAAGTATACAGAGAAAGTATGCAGTTTAAAGCAATAGTAAAGGGGATTATTCAAATAAAATTAATATGATATTTAACTAAACCATTTCCTAAAATTTCATTAATGTTTTTGTGTCAGACTTTTCGATTAAATATTTGTCTAACTTATACAAACTAATAACAGAGTGTAACAAACACAGCTTGCTGTTCACATCTCACAGGTTCTGTCTTAGGATATTTTGCGGAAAATTTTGACAGTAATGCCAAAATAATCCCAATTTTCTAGCTTTCACATACAGTAGAGCGTCGTTTATCCGAATCAATTGGGGACTAGGGTTGTTCGGAAAACTTATTTTTCGGATAACCAATTATGTACGAAAAAATATATTAATTTATCCCATGTTGAAATTTTTCTCCGTTGCGTGTCGCTTCGCGTTGAATTTTCGTCGATGTTAAGCCTAACGAAGACTATTGTATCGTTAAAAATTATTTTTTTATTTTGTACAAACAAAATAAATATATTGAAAAATATAAAAACAATAAAAAATTATACTTTAGAAGTTAATTTAGTATCAAAAATGTAAAATATTTGAGTAGCCGAAGACACAGCCAAAGATTACAGCGCCACGGCACTGGCGAAAATTTAAATTTGTCGACTGGAATTCCTTCGGATAACCGACGTTTCGGATAACCCGCTTTCGGATAAACGACGCTCTACTGTATTTCCATCTTAGAGATTTCACTCTCAGATTTTGTTGTATTAACATTATAAAAACTTTATATCAATGAAATACTGTATTAAATAAAATACTCAATCACTATAAAATGAAGGAGTCCTTTTGTATTTTAATTACAATTAAACATTTTTCAAGATATTTTGTCTCATCATCAGAGCACAGCAAAACTTTGAATAAAGAATGGTGCTATCTGAACATTCAAAGTATAGTATTTTTGTGGAATGATCAGCATGCTGATTAAACTGCGATCAAAATATAAAGTTAATCAGATCTAACAAAACTAGTTGTTAATTAAATGTTAAAGAAAACATCCTTCCCAGTATAATAAAATAATAACATTGTAAATTGACTGACTTAAAAGAGAGTTTTCCTTTACAAGACAATAAAACAATTAAAGACTTATTGACATTAGTAACAATAGTAGTAGTTAGTCAGTGCAGGCTTCACTGACCATCTACCCTAATCTTGAAAATAACACCTTCTGCTCAAATTTCACACAACACTGATGTTAATGTGTGAGCTGAGATAATTTACAGCAAATTTCTTAAATTTAATATGTTTATTTTTGCATTTTTGAATCAAATAACAAAAAAAAAAAAAAAAGCATTTTCAGAATTTCACGAGTATTTTATGTCATTAGTGTGAGAATCCAACTTTTAACAAAAATCTGTCGTCGATGTCATCATACTTGCTCAATAATTGTCGTCATCTACTACTTGAGAAAATCTCCACTTACACTTTCTCGATGGCAAAAACGATGCAATCTCATGGTCTGCTGACCTCTTAGCCGAGCTATATCATGCGGGTATTGTAATTGACAACTGAAGAATCAGTCATCACCTGTTCCTCTAGGATTAAAGTCTTCAAAAATATCCTGTGCCTGTGCCAAACTTTTACTTGATCTAATTTCACTCTTGACCAATGGTGCTGGTGAGGACAAACCTTCCCAACAATCTTGAACCAGACTTTCCTGATCCAGAACTTTCTGAACCCTTCCAGAATGATAACAGACTCTTTAGTCTCAATGAAAATCTCAATAAAATCTATCACCACCTTGTGGATATCCTCTACTCCAGGTATTCATCGACTCTCGAACTACTGTTAACTCTCTCTCGAGAACCGCAAAAATATCTAGACCTGTTTTAGCTTGATTTATAATAACTCATTAATGATATAAATTGTATACAATGTATTTTCCTTTACAAATAAATGATTTTTTAGTTAACCTAGTCTCTGTGTAATGTTGTCACCCGTCCAGTTTTTAATTCATTGTCCGGGTTAACTATTAATTTTGACTGGGATTTCATAGAAATTGTGAAATTATGATGAAACAAAGTACTAGCAAATATTTTTGTAAATTTACATTATTTTAACAGCAAAAGACTTCACTCTCAATGAGACTTAATTCACAATCTTACGCTGACGTATATCGCTCCTGTCGACCTTTTTTTTCCCTTTCCTTTCTTCTCAGCTTTTTAAAGCTAAGTTATTTTGTTTCTTAATTTAGATTGCTCATATACAAGTCGTAACTAGTTTAGAACTGTTGTGCATGTTATTCTTCACATGATAAAATAACATTGCGCACGCGTCAGGGACTTCTGTTCGAACAAACTTGACCTGCCGTATGGGTCAGCAATTTTGAAAAGGTGGCAACATTATCTCTGTGTGAGTCACTTCCTACTCACTAATCTGCGGTCTCCATCCTGAATCCAATAGCCCACGCATGCGGCCGCTGCGTGATCTACGTTCTAATACCGAATCAAAATGCCACCTCGCTTTCCATGTCAAATGGAACACAATAGTGTCAGTCCTGATGAGGCACTAAAGAGGTGCCGACCCTCTGGTCACATTAGAAAAAAGACAAAATGAACGAAATTAAACATATAATCATAGCTTTTGATGTAATGCTGACAGTTTCACAGTTTTAGAGTAAAAGTAAACTCATTCATTTTTCTATGACATAACTTGTTCATGTTTTTAAATGCATCTTCTAGAAAGAAAGAGCTGTAACCTTACTGATAAACCGGCATGCTAATTTTTACCATATGGAAATATCCAATTTCATGGTATCCCCAGATAGACCAGCATTCCAGTCATTCCACAAAAATATGGTACATCATTGAAACTAGTACAATCTAACTGATCAAAAACTGTATTTTCTTTATTTAAAGTAATATCACATATTAACAAAAATACAGGGTGTTTCACAGCCTTTCCACAAAGTTTTTTTTGAATAACTTTTGAACTGCATGGTTTTCAGCCTCAATGTTTTGTAGGTGGTGCTTTGAGCAAAAAGAAATTGCTTCTATCACAAAAGCATGTTGCTTCAAAACATTTAATTTTTTTGTAAGTGGCCTCACCTGGCTACCTTACAGCCCTGATTTGAGTCCACTAGACTTCTTTCTTTGGGGATACACAAAGGATCAGGTGTTCAAGAATAACCCTACCACCCTCAGTCAGATGAGAGAAAGCATCAAGAAGGGCATCTCAGATCAGACCTGTAGTAATGTGATTGCTAATTTTCAAGAGAAACTGTGCTACTGCATCTTGACAGAGGGCAGACATTTCAAAAATATTTTGCATTAATTTTCTTTTTCATTTTCTACCTTTGCTGAAAATTTCATTAAAAAATTCGAATTTTCAAAAAAGTTATTCAAAAAAAAACTTTGTGGAGAGGCTGTGAAACACCCTGTATATATGTTACTGGGAAAGACTGAAATTAGAGAATGTCAATATTCTCTGGTGAATGTTGACACATACAAAACACGATGGTGAAAGACTGAATATTTGGTTATATTATTATACATTCGAACAATTGCCAGTGCATGTCGACAAGCACAGATAAGCTTGGGTGAAGATCGAAACGACATCCGAGAAGCCGAGTCAACAGAGAGGCAACAGTCTGTAACCAAATTCTTTGCCATTTCCTTCTGCTCAAATTGGTGATACAGTACGAATCCAAGAAATGTATGACCATGGTCCATGATGTCAACCATGTCCGTACAGATGCCCGAAATGTGTTGGCGGTTGTTGTTGGAATAGAAGACTCCAACTTTTATAAATTAGCAAACAAAAATGGTACCCTCAAGCAGCTTTATACCCGTAATCAGTTCATAATTTGTAAAGAAAAGTTACTGTCCATGGATGAGATTTCTTCACAAGAAATATCGCTGAGAGAAGCAGCTGCAGCTAATTTGAGAAGTGGAAGGCAAGGCTATACATGCTGTCATTGCAAAAAGAAGTGTTCCACAAATAAATGCAGTTGTAAAAGCAAGGGACTCTTGTGCAATTCAAAGTGCCATACAGTTTACGTTGTTGCAATAAATAAGATTGTATAACGTTAATCACATAATTTATGTGCAAGTTTATTATTGTATTATTTTCTCTAATGATTTAGAATGTACTGTTCATTTTAGGTTCAACAGTTTATTTACATGCACTGTTACTTTAGCTTTCTCCTATTTTGACATATTAAAAAATTGCATTTTTGTCTTAACGTAATAAAAATATTTTTATTCAACATTCACCATCAGTGCATGCTGAATGTCGACATTTGCCAGTGTAAGTGAGAAATAATGATATTTAGCAAATATTTCGTACATACACGAAATGACTGTGTGAATGCTGACATTTGCCAGATATCAGTCATTCACAGTGACATATATATATTACATTTGTAATATTATGTGGCTACCAATAAATGCAGCTGAAAACGTTTGTCATTTAATTAGAATAATTGCTGGAGTAAAGGTTCTTGTTTATTCTACTTTGAATTTAAATTTATTATGCTATAATATTGTATAATCTTATGAAGATTTTCTTTAAATGAAAGCTTAATTTGTTTATATTTCCAGAGAAACACAAAAATTATAATGAATTAAATTTAAAAGAAAATATTTGTTATTTGTGTCTAGCATATAAGTAAAAGAACAAGAATAGTACATTATTTTGACAAACTTTTGGAATAATTTTAAACAAAATAAGATCAAAGAGTTAAGCGTTGGAAATTACTATATTACACACATCAATGGATGATGGTACTTATCATTGTATAATCCTTATCATTAAACAGATTAAAACATACATAAATCACGGCAAAAATAATTACTAACGTATAATCTTATATACATTATAAATTCTCAGTAATATACTGGCTTCACAGTACAATTTGATCTTTACATTTAATCAGAAATTATTTTATAATTATAATTATTATTTTACTGATTTTTCTGACCAATTTTATTGAAAATAAAAATTTAACTACACATACCTTACTCGAGGATCAAAAAACTTCTGATCAGATATATCGTCAGATACTTTTTCTTGATTTAACTTGAACTGTTCTCGTCTTTGAGCTCTAATGTTAGCCTAAATGAAAAATAATTCTATTTACAGATTTGTTTTCTTAAAATAAAAAATAATCTCAAATATGATTGTTTTTTATCTTTATGTTCTGGAAATTATTTGTAGGGCACTTCAAAAAAAACATTACAACTTTAAAAGCACACAGGTTTTAATCAGATGACTTACAGAATCAGTCAAGGTATTAATTTATAACAAAACATATCAAGTTTTACCTCAAACAGTAATTTTGGTTTAAAATTGGAACTTAATAATTTTGTTTTGGAAATTTTAACTTTATTTTTTAATTACACTGAAAAATAGTATTCAAATATTTATACAAAACTTACTTTCAAAGTTGGAACTCTATGTGTTAATTGAACTTCTTTGCCACTCAAATCAACAGTTCGTCCCTCAGCATTTAAAATGAGAGGCGTTGGCCTGCAGAGGAAATTTTTACATTATAAAGATTCAATAAAATAAAATTAAAACACATCGGATATAATTTGTAGTATATAATATAAACTACAAGTTAAATTTATTGCTGTATTTCTCACTTTATAAGATAATTTTTATAAAATTACATATGTATTTAGATGGAAAAAATGTTTGATGAACTGAGATATGAAATTCCAATCCAGGAAGACTCATTTGACAATTGTCTTTCCTGATTGAGATGAGAAATTTAATCATTTTAGCAAGAGCTCTCAATATTATATAATATAAAAGAAGATTATTAACAAAACTGATAATGCCTTGTTTTTTTTCTGTTTCTACCAAAAAACACAATACTCTATTGAAACCGTCATGCCCCTATAGATTAAGATTTTCAACAAGATTTCAAAAAATACAAATTGGATCAAATAACTGACATCCGTGGACTACTGAAAAATCTACATTTCAATTGCTTGGAATAACTCTAGATTCAATAGATATTTTGGACATACCTGACCTAAGCTGGGTCATCAGAAAGTTAAATTTAAGTTGAATTTAATCCCTGTTAACAATCCCTACAAGGAGAATCATTGTAAACTAAATACAAAGATTTTCCTTATCTGTTGTTCCATCTTACCTGGCACACCATCAAAACTGTTACAGAACAGAAGACAGTCTCTGAAGATCACAACAAACTTTAATGAAATGATTAAAAATAACAAAATAAATAACATAAATTATCATCTAATCGCCCAAGAGCAATTAATTGTGCGATGGTTATGTGAAAATTTCATCAGTTTCAATCCCATACATTACAGAACAGCAAAACAGAAATTTGATCATACTAGATGTATTCCATCCAACAGTAGACAAGGTCAGAATTACCAATAATTTCTCTTCTTCAAAAATTTTTGTCCATATATTCTTTTGTTTTTTTTAAATTTTATCATTAGTATCTCCAAGATCAATTATGTAAAAATGGGATTTTCCCCCACCAGCTCAATAAGATTTTCATCACAACCCTTTGAAACTTTCAAACAGAAAACAATGTACAACGACATCTATTTGTAAGCATGATTTCAACATCTGTAAATGAGTCATTGCTAGGCAACAGTCTATAAAAATCCATTTTGTTGGCCAAACCGTGTAGTGGCCAACAAAATGAATGAAAGAAAAATGCCACAATTAATTGCCCATGGGTGTTTAAATAAGCAATAAGTAATTGAGTGAGTCTGTTTACAAGGAGGAAAAATTAAATGAGGGTTTACAGTAATTAAGTAAATTATAACAGAAGCAACAAAAAGAAATGAACAAAAAAATGCACTCTAAAACAGCATGGTTTTTCAAGTTTAACACAACACAATTTTAACACACTCAAACACAATTTTAAAAAAATCAGCATGGCCTCCTCTCATTGGATGACGGTCCAGCCAACAAAAATTTGTTTGGCAGCAATATTTCATTTTGGTTTGTCTAACAACTACTGTGACAAATTTAGGACCTTTGTGCTTTCATAACTTCTAGGCTTACAAATATCAGATTACTTTAGATGTATAAAAAAATGTTATCTTATGTAGTGGAAAATATGGCAATTTATAAATAAAAATTAACTTACTTTGATTTGTCATATGCCTTCCTAAAATAAAAAAAAAAATACATTAGAACACTTTCAGCTAAAAAAGGTATTTTAATATATAAATTTACATAAAATAATAACTCTAAAATTTTATTTTAAATAACTTAACATGCTTACATAAATAAAAAAAAATTCTTTGAGTAGTATTTTTCACTTAAATACAGTGAAGCTTGATCTACTGTTCCTGTATCAATCGTTTTTCCACATTTATTAGTTGTTTTCTCCATTTGCCCTTATTTGGGACTGGAGAAAACAACTAATAAATGTGGGAAAACAATTGATAAGGAACAGTAGATCAAGCTTCACTGTATTTAAGTGAAAAATCTATATATATAGATACACTGGTGGATAAAACTTAAGAACGGATGCTATTTTCAACAATTACAGTTAGAAATTGAACTGCAGCAGCCTATTGAAATATGCTTGAAATCATGATGTACTCTGTTATGTAAAACTTATGCATATGTTTGAGTTCCACACATATTTTTTTGTGAAAAGTTTTGTTTTATGGATGATAACGCGCCGTGTCATTGCACACAGGCTGTAGAGGAGTGTCTTGACAGCGAAGATATTCATTGCATAGTCTGGCCAGCCCATTCTCCTGATCTGAATCAAATTGAAAATGTATGGGATGCATTGGGGAGCACCATATTGTTTAATATTACAGAGAGCCATCATTTAAGTATATCATTGGAAAATACACATTTCATATGAGATAAACAATAAAACCATCGACGTCATAAAATTCTCGTGTCAACTGTTTTCCTGCATCAGTCATTTTTCCCCTAAGTCCCACTAAAAATGATAGATCGAGGTTTCAAGTTTCACTGTATTACTTTGTTCTTGATTTTGAATGAAAAACTCAAATTATTTATTAAAAAATTTTACACTAATTGATGTAAAAACATAACTATAAAAAGATGTTATGATTAAAAAACTTACAGTTAATAACAATTATAAAAAATGTACAGCTAAAGAACTATTATATATATATATCTATAAAAATATATATATATACATATATTTTTATAGATATTTTGACTACTTTATTGTAAAGTAATACATATATCATTTTATACTGATTTTTTTACAATAATAAAACTCACAATTGATTTGGATCTGCAGTAAAAAGTATCTGACGATTGGCTAATCTGGCTTGTATCTGTGCTGTCAGTTCTGCTATTCTTGCTTTATTCTCTGTTAAACTTGATTTACCACCAATTTCAGCTGTAAGGTCTCCCATAGAGAGCATACTAAAGTCATGAACACTTCCTTTGTGATCACCAAACTTCAGCTAATAAAAGTAAAAGAAAATAATTGAGAAAATAATAAAGATAAAGATTGGCACTATTTTCTAAGTTTTAACAGGAATTTTATTCTCATGAAATTTAAGTTTGATCATTTATAAATTATAGAAAAATTATCTTTAATAAATGTAATGTACCTAAATTATTTCAATAAAATTTTTTAAGTCTTACAAATTCTGTAAGACTTTTCCTCTAATTGAGATGTTATCAGCCATAATGCTTACCTACAATTTTTATAAAAATAAATTGATTAGAAGATTAATAATATTTTGCATTATTTAAAGTTTCACATCCAGACTTGATCTAGGTTCAGATACAATTGCATTATTTTACCAATATTTCAATCAAGTGCGTCATTATGACAACTACTATAAACATGATAAAAATTTTCATCAGTATACTTCATTCATTATTTAATTTAAATCTAATTACTTTTTAGACTGACTGTCTAAAACAGCATTTTTCAAAAAGAAAAAAATTAAGCCAGACATTTTTTAAACTTAAATACAGTCCTGATATCCAAACTCACAGTATCTGAATTCCTGCCACAACAAATCATATTTTGTAATACCCATATTACAGAATATTGGATAAAAATCCCAATAATAAAATATATTCAAAATGCATGCATAAAAAATTTGGAAGTCATGTTAGTGAACATGGGAAGTAAGGAGAAACTCCATTCTCAGCATTTGTTATTGGTTTCAGTGGTATTGTTTGTGTTCTAACATAGCGCATTTTTATTACAAAATTTCAGTGCAGTCTTACAAACTTATTAACAGTTCATTATCTCATTTTTTCATATATTTGCATATAGTAAATAGTAATAAGATTACTATTTACTGCATATTAAAGAAAACATTTCATGTATCATACCTAATAGGAGGTACTAAATAAACACATTCCTTGTATTACTGCTTACAAACATTCTTTAATGACTGTATTAAACATTTTTGTTAAATATAACTGGGATTTGTGGTTCTTAACATCATACTAAAATTGTGGATTGATAGATAAATAGTTTATGTGCAGTGTTTTAGTGTCATTTGGGGGAACTGATTGAAGAACTGGAGTTAAATAAATGGACTGGAAATGAGTTAGAATTTTTCCCATGTTAAATTAAAAACTTGTTGATACCCAATTCCTAAAATTCAAATCATTTTCACAAATTCATTAGATTCACATAGTGGAGTACAGCTGTATATTTACTCAAAAAATTTAATAGTTGAAATAGCATTTCATAATGAGCAGTGAAAAAATTTGTGAACAGAAACTATGCCTTACTTTGTATATGATATGGAATTATGGTTTTTCTTTCTTTTTGGCTAAATTTTTGTAAAATAAATTGACTTAATGATTTTAAAATTTTTATACCTTAATCAATCTAGAAAAATTTAGATTAGATTAATGGCAATCAATGGAAACTATTCTTCTTCCAGAATTCAAAAGAATGGAAAATAATTTCAATTGTGACAGACACCTCACAAAACCAAAGTGAAATTCTTAAATATATGTACTGTACAGTGAAATTCTGCATCTGATATGCCAGCAAACCTGATAAGCCAGTATGCCCAGCTTGTCTTTGATGGGTGTATCGGTGCACTGAGTATTCATCTGTATTTATACAAAACTAGGAAACCAGTGAATTAAAATCAAAAATACTAATTAAATTTTAAATATTTAATTTAAATTAAAAAAATTTTTAACTGGCCTTCACACCAAAACTAAAACCAAGCCAAAAATAAAATCAAAATTAATTAATTAAGATTAAAATCAAATCAACTGAAACACAATATTTCAGAAAGTGTGGATACTTTTTGCCCATCTTGATTGCTTTGGTTATATTTCATCCAGGCAGTCAGAATTGAGTCGCTCTTTATAGCACTTTGTAAAGTGTTAGTTTCGGTTTCAGCTTTGGCAATGACAGAACATTTTGCTTTTAATATATAAAATATAGATATACAGATATGGATAAGTGTACAAAGCACAAAGTAAGATAAAGTGTTCTTGTTCAAACCAACCAAGGGTAGGAATAATCTGGAAAAATTGAAATAGCATGTTAAGCATTCATAAAAGGCAGATTTGTACAATTTTACATGTGAAGATATGTAAAATTGTGTCCAGGAAATCAAAAAAAATTCCATTTTCCAATAACTAACCTGGCNTAAATCAGACAGTCAGAATTGAGTCGCTCTTTATAGCACTTTGTAAAGTGTTAGTTTCGGTTTTAGCTTTGGCAATGACAGAACATTTTGCTTTTAATATATAAAATATAGATATACAGATATGGATAAGTGTACAAAGCACAAAGTAAGATAAAGTGTTCTTATTCAAACCAACCAAGGGTAGGAATAATCTGGAAAAATTGAAATAGCATGTTAAGCATTCATAAAAGGCAGATTTGTACAATTTTACATGTGAAGATATGTAAAATTGTGTCCAGGAAATCAAAAAAAATTCCATTTTCCAATAACTAACCTGGCATATTTGATAACCTGGCAGTGCATCAGTCCCATGATGCCAGGTTAACGAAATGTCATTGCACTGAATACACTTAAACTAAAAATATTTTTAAAAAAAAATTAATTTCTTTAAATACTTTTAACTTACACTTAATGCCTTTTTTCTTTCTTCAATTAATCTTTGTGCATTTGCCATCATTTCTTTAATCTGAAAATAAAAATTAAATTTTAAAAAATATTTTTAAGTTACCGTTCTTAAGAAACTTATTTTAAAAAATTATTCAATTTTGTAAAAATTATGTTAAAATACATAAAATTCCAACAATAGAAATTTTAAATTATTTTATTTTTACTTTCCTGGATGTTATGAATAACAAGGGAAAATATTGAATCTAGTCAAATTTGACCCTCAGAGTTTTTTGCAAATCTCCATGTTTTGAGACATCCTGAATCAAAACAAGTGAAAAAAACCTGACAAAAAATTCTGTGGATATGCACGCATGTGTGTGTTGGCATCTATTTCACTTAATATCTCAGGATGAAATAAAGATTAAGAAACAAAATTTGGCATAGTGGCTTGTATATAAGGGCATTGATGCTATTAATTTTGGTGGTGAAAGATTGAGAGGGTGGGGTCATGTATCTTGAGAGGAGTAGAATTTAACAAATAAAATCTTCATTAACATTTACACTTTTTTTTATAAAACTCATTTATACCCTCAAAATTAAGCCTTTTACCATTTTATAGTAATTAAAAATATAAAAAGCTTTTATAACAAAATCTGATAACAGAGGGCACGCACATAATTTTATTTTTTTGCTTAATAATATAAAAGTTTTTTAAATAAAAGCTCATAACAGCTGGGAAAGTTACACAACTCTCGTTGCTAGGTTTTTAATATATAATAATATTACTTTCCTTTCACATTTACCAAATATACAGGAAAAAAAGGTGATTTATTCATTTAAAATAATAAGTAAAACCCAATCTATTCAATCCTAAAGTAAATCAATCTTCATCCACTTCCAAATTTCCTTTATAGTTGAAACTTTGAATACATGTATATTCCTAATGACAATACACTTTTTGAGAATTTGAAAACACTTTTAGCAATTAGCAAAAAATTAAAATTTCTAAAAAGCTGATAACATATGGTGCTACTCGTGTGACAAACTACCTTGCCCCTTTTTAGTTCTACCACAGATTAACACCCAGATGGGACATGGCTATGGCAAACCGACTTCACTCCACAACTAGCACCATCCTATGGCGACTATGGTAAAGTAATAAAATAAAAAAAATTGATTATATTGGCTACTGGAGATTTTTTAAATTCAAACTGTAATGACAAAAGACAAATAAAAAGACAACTAAAAAACAAAAGTTTATTAACTTAAAGTTTATTTTTACTTAATTACTGTATTTATTTCTTTTTTTCTTTCCAAAGTTTTTGAACTTTCTTTTTCATTAGTTGCTTTAATGAAATGATAAGTTCTCATATTATAGAATAATTCCAGACAATAAACAATTTCTTTTTTAAATATGTTTACATCCATTAAACCAATCCCTATTAATATACGATAAACAATAGTCTAATAAACCACTATTATTATGCAAATTTAAAATTTTTGACACACAATTACTATAAATTTGTTCACATGTAGATAAGGCATTTATCCAATTAGTTGTAGGTACAGTTAATTTTTCAATATGTCCACTTTCTCTACTACCTACATTTTAAAAAACAAAAACACTTGGTCACTTGATAGAAAATTTGCACAATCACTTATCAAATTATTATAATATTTTTTGCAATCTTTGTACTTACTCAAAATTTTTTTAGCTAGCCAATCTGCAACATATGCAATACACTGTCTACTGATTCTAATACATTATTAGACATTAGATATGTTATTTTTATTAATAGTATTTGGCTATTCTGTTAGTTTTTCTAATTCATTCAGGTTTATATCTGACAAGTTTATTAAAGTAAAAATTTCTCCTTAACTTTTTATTAAATGAGTCATATGCATTAAAAAAAATCTTGGATCCATTCCTTAAAATAAAAGACTAAGTCAGATGTTGTATTAAGAGTTTTCTCAAATAGCTTTGTGAGATCTAGGACCTGATTTTTCTTTAAATTGGGGAAATTTTAATCACTTTTTCCATTGCAATCATTAAGAAAACATCACACAGAAAAAGAATTGAATGTCACCCTTCTCATCAATAAATGCTAAGAAAGTATAACAATCTATTGTTAAAGGATGAGAATGTCAACATTCAAACAAATAAACAGGATGAATCTAACATTTCATGAACCAAATATGACACTATCCAACCTGTTTAGATGACATCTTATCGTCCTCCCAGGCCACCTATGACCCCACACCTGCAACTTCGTCTCCAAAACAATCGATCACCTGATCATTTCCCCAGGCTTAGAGAGGATATAATGATGACGCACACCCACTTCGGGGTGATCATCCACTGGGAACAACTTCTCCCCAATCAGACTCTCCAGAGAAGATCACTGGTGTCCGCTCCTTGGTCACAAAAAAGGGAAGGAGGTAAGATGCTTCATGAACTTATGCAAACTCTCTCTCAGTCCCATAACATGTTCTTGGTGAATTTAGGTAGATAGAATAAGCTTACTATCCTTTATACGCAGCTCATTACTCACTATTGTACCTGTACTCATGTAACCTTTTGTTTAGATTTTAGTTATTTGTTAAAATTTTATTTTTACTAAGTTTGTTAATGGTGTCTGTTACTCGGGTAGCGCCCACGCTTTATTGACAACCTCACTCACCCTCCCACTCAACATGACAAGCCAATCCCAAGACCTGGGACAACACACAAAGAAGAAACACATCATCCACAGACAATGTGAGTGGTTTTCACCAAACTGTCGCTGGAAGGCATATGCCTTAACCCTTTTTCCAGCGACAGTTTGGTGAAAACCACTCACATTGTCTGTGGATGGTGTGTTTTCCATAATTTTGAATCTATTGATGCCATTACCTTCATATCCTAAAACTATTTCTCTGTTTTTATCATAAATTTATCCTTTTTTAAATTAATTAATGTACATTTCATCTTGTGATAATGAACAAATGCAAGCTTCGCTTGCTAAGTTCTCTCATTTTTTCTGCACTAATACGATAATGTTTTTGTTAACTCCTGGTTCTAAATTAAAATTTCCTAAAATTCTATGGAGGGTTTACAAAAACCATCCATAGAATTATGGAAGATTATAGAATTATCCTCCAGAGAAGATGGTAAATAATATAATTATAATTTTCCATTCTTGCTTAATTTCTTTTAATTTGTTTATAAAGTTTCAAAACTTTGCATACAGATTGTGAAATAACACTCTAGTTTACTGCATTTGCCGCTAGGGATTACCCACAATATCACATGCACTTAGTGCAGCCAATTTTACTATAGCCATGTCCCATCTGGGTGTTAGTTAAGTAGAAAACAAAAAATATTTTAAAAAATGCTTTTTATTCACATAAATGCACTAATTAAAAAATAAATTTTCTTCAGCTTTCATAGTACTCTTAGTATTAAGCAACAAAAATAAAAGGATGTGGTGGGTGCTCATGGAAAGCCCATAAAAATTGATAGAAAAGTGTAACTAAGAATATTTGTAAACATGCTCACCCATAAAATGCATTGAATATAACTTTTTGATCTACCCTATTATTATTTTTCTGCTGATATAAATATTTATAACATTGTGCTTACAAAAATTATTTTTATACCAAAACTCTCTCATTTGCAGTTGTGCAAGTTGACAATATCATCTGTATTAAATTTCTATTATAATGGATTTAAAAAATTTTTTCAAGTGATTTTAATAAACATTACATTGGTACAAATGTTCAATGATTAATTGAAACCAAATATAACAATAAAAAAAAAAAAAGACACTACATATTTCAATATGAAACTCAAATTCTATAAAAGCAAAAATTTCAAAATTTATCATTACAGATTCAGTATTTAAAATAATCTATCAAATCCAAGATTATTTTTGATTTACTGTCAAAGATTAAAAACCAAATCATAAATTACATATGAAGTTGTTCTGTTTATGAAAAATAAAATACAGTCGACCCCCTATAACATTGTTGATTATTCTGTTTTATATGAATTCCATGTTGTATGAGTCACTTAGATTTTACAAATAGGTGCCGGGCTGTGAACGGCTCATGTATTTGTAAAATCTAAGTGACTCGTACAACATGGAATTCATATAAAATGGAATAATCAACAGTGTTATAGAGGGAGGGTCAACTGTATTACAAGCCACAAGAATGCTTACCAAATTTTAAGTTTCAAGACACTAAGATTTATTATGTATTGACTTCATCATTACACCTAATCCTCAATTTACACAGTAGATTGGATTCTTGTAAATCAGTATTAGGTAAACTGAGACTAATGTTTTTGTGGAAATGGAGGAATAGGCTTCATTTCTTTATTAACCAATATAAAATAAATAATTTAATTTTAAAATTATTAGAAAAATTGCTAACTTCAGGACCCAAAACAAATTTTATTCAGAAACATTTTCATTCTCTTAAAAGATAACCATCAGCTCAGAAATTTACAAAATGTTTTAGAGTGATTATAATGAAAAGAATACCATTACATTCAAACTTTTTCTAATAATTTTGAACATAGTGTCAAGTATGAATGTTTTTTTCTGCTGATTCAATTTTATATTATTATATATAATTTTTATATGAGTGAAAACAAAATTTATTTTGTCTTCTTTGCTTGTTGATAAAAACAATTTTCCAATTTTCTATTTCAGTTGAAAATCATACACCACCTCTTTGGTCTCATTTTTTTCTAATTTATTTACCAAAGACATATCTTGTCTCAATATAATCTGTTAGCAAAACTTGTTTATTATTTCTATTTAATTCATTATAAATTTCTTGATACTGAGTAATGTTTAATGCACAGGGTGTGAAATTGAGACACAGTACAAAATGGACAATATCATTCTTTAAATGTAACTTGAAAGTAGCAATGACATAATTGCAACACCATAATAGTTAGCATAAACCTAAAAGTTAATTTCATTGATAAAAATAGTTCATTTTTAAAAAAGAAATATTAAAAATAAAATACTAAAGAGTATTTTAAAAAACCATATTAAACTGAAACTCTATTCCCCTCAGATGTCCCTAGTTTTGAACTGTTCTGTAAAATCCATTTGTTCAGATATGTGAGTAAAATATGTTAGAGAATGTTAGATTATACTCCATGTGCATATGCTTGAAAAGGTTGCTGCTGCCACATGGTGACAATACAGATCTCCACTGCCACATGGTCTAGATCATTGGGACCCTATTTCTTGGTCCGTCTGATCACCCAACATCATCTCTCTAAACTTTTTTCTTTATGGGCATGTCAACGATCATTCATATGCTACAAAAGTGCCAAGCACGTAAGCCCTGCAAACAAGAATTGCAGATGCCATTAACAGCATGACCTCCTAACATACCGGCCCAGATGTGGGCTTAATGACAAGATCAAGTACAAACTGGATATATAGCAGAAGCATTTGTGGAAATATACTGTTTTAACATAATATCTAACCTTTTCAGAGGCACTTTCTATTACCATTATCTACAGTGTTAGTCTCAGATTTCTTTTCCCAAAATTAATCCACAAAAATACACACATTTGAGGGGAATAAACATCCTTTATTTTTCTGGCTGTGTTAAACTGCAATTATGTAATTAAAGTACTATGTAAATAAAAAATCAGAGGTATTTTATGATTATCTGACACCTGTACCTATAATTATATATGATCATATTATTAGATCAAATATCTGTACATAATTATATTAACAAGCAGTCTTGATTTCAAAATATGAAATTATTTAGTTAATTTAAAATACAGTAGAGCGTCGATTTTCTGAAAGTCAATCATCCGAAAGAATTCCAGTCGGCAAATTTAAATTTTCGCCAGTGCTGTGGCGCTTCAATCTTTGGCTATGTCTTGGGCTACTCAAATATTTTATGCTTTTGATACTAAATTAACATCTGAAGTATAATTTTTTATTATTTTTATATTTTTCAATATATTTATTTTGTTTGTACAAAATAAAAAAATAATTTTTAACGATACAATAGTCTTTGTTAGGCTTAACATCGACGAAAATTCAACGCAAAGCAACACGCAACGGAGAAAAATTTCGACATCGGATACGTTAAACTATTTTTTCGTACGTAAATCAGTTATCCGGACAACCCCAGTCCCCAATTGATTTGGAAAATCAACGCTCTACTGTACAGTCATCATAAATAAGCTCATATAATATAATAAACACATCAAAATACAGAGTAAATAAATTAAAAATTTTTTGTGTGGACAAAAGATTGATATTAAAAATAAGCAACAACAACAAATTAAAATAATATGTTAAAATTACAATATGATTGCCACTAAATTATGTTTAGTAGAAAAAAATATAATTCAATATTAAAATGCATTTTATTTTTATTATTTATAAATATCAAAAACATAAATTTATAAAAATTAAAGACTACTTTTAAAAAATGATCATGCAAACAGAAGTTTACCTGAAGAGCAGTGAGCTGGCCTGGACTTGGCTGTCCAGGAGATGGTATTGCTGTTGTAGCTTCATCAGAAAATTTTGCTTTCTTAAATTCAATATTTTCAGTTTCTTCCTAAAAATATATTTAAGTTAAAAAATAAGAGAAACAAACCTATTAATTATTACTTTAAATAACTTTAGACATCATGTAATAAAAATAAATTCATTTTTCTAGTTTTTTCTTAACACACTGATGCGTCAATTCTAAACATTTAACTATCAAATATAATATGATGGAATAATAAAAATATTTTTCTTCGGATGTGTTTCAAGCATTCAAATATAAATAAAAAAAATGTGAAAACTTAAATAAAATTATGTTTATGATTTGAAAGTCTGAAAAATATTCATTAGCAAATGTGCACTTTTGCAAGTTTATCAATAAATGAAAAACTCAAAATGTACAAATTATACTTCATCTACAAAAGAACTTCTGTTTGGTCTGAGTGAAAACTGAATCCATGTTCATCAATAGCATTATTGAATGTTCTAACCATCTAAACTATTCATATTATGAGTTTTAGAGCAGATTTATTTTTCCTTAATATATGTTTAAAAAAAAAAATTATAAACTATAAAATACACTTAAAACAACAACTGAGAAGTAGGTTAATATTAATATCAAAAACACTCACTAACCAGAAAATCTAGCAATATTTTAAAAAACTTAATAAAAATGAATGTTTTTGACAAACTTAAATCCTCATCTTCAGGCTGAAAAGTAACTTGGAAGATAGAACATAAAGTTTGAAAAAAAACCAAATGTAGCATGATATTAGTTGCCTCCAACACAAGTGCTGTCAAAAATGTTCAGTTTTATTAACTTTCTTCTTAAATACTGCTGGATTTTCTGGTTTGGTGAGTGTTTTTAATACACAATACACTATACATTAATTAAAAAATAAAAAAGACATAGTCGTTTCCAAAAACTTGGATGATCATCATATTTCTTTTAAATGTTCCTTATTAAAAACTTCAGATGACCCGACCTTTCTTTTTAGGCTACGTGGCCGTCCTGGAAAAAGTTCCTTATAACATAGAAACAAACCAATTAAAAAGTAATAATTTTTTTTTTTTTAAATTGGAATTGATGACCTTACAATGTCTTGCTTTTTTTTCATCCTTTTCTGTTTGGGAGTTTCAAATCTTTATATCTACTGAAAATTTGCACTGTTTAATGCACTGTTTTTTGGAAACAACTATGTCTTTTTTATTTTTTAAAGAAAATTTCATCATCCAGCAAAAATTTAAAATTAAAAAAATACACTAATTAATTAATTATCAATTACAATAATGTAATAAATTTAACAAATAACAAAATATTAAAATTTTTTTAAACAAAAGCAGTTTTATATCATATTTCCATATACAAGAGTTGAATGAATAATAAAATATTCTAAGATAGCATTCTGACACATGTGAGGATAGAAATACACAACCACCACTATTTAATAGCTGTGTCTAGTCTACATGCACAGTCTCAGTATTATGTTGCATTGTTGCATAATAGTCAAGTGATAAAGGGGAGCTTAATCAATTTGGTATTGTTAAATCTTATGAGCACTTGAGAGACATTTATGTAGTAATGCTGGAAAGAACTGCCTGTTCCATGATAAAACAAGACTGGCTTCAATAATGAAATAGCAAAGAAAACTTAAAGATCAAAGTTGCAGGTTATTCAATAACATCATTATAGTCCAGATCTACTGCCACCAGACTTCTGGTTGTTCCAAAATTAAAAAAAAAAAAAAGTGTTGGAAGGTCAACACTTCACATCAGATGGCAAAGTTCAAGCTGCCATACAGGAATAGATTGAAGAAAAGCCAAAAAGTTTTCAAGTATTAAATGCAAAAGTGAATTAATTAATTAAACTTTTAGGAAAAGGTCACTGTAAACAGGTCTTGGAGTGCCATTTTCCCTCCAAAAAAGTGAGAAAAGTGAGTTGAAATACAGAAACAGTGAATAAAAAGTGTGTGTAATAGTGACAAAACAAAGTGAAAACATGGAAGGAAAACGCAACAAAATAGCAGTAAAAGTCTTTTTTTTTTTCTCTTTTTATTCTGTTACGGTTAAATACATTTTAAACATTTCTGTATATACTGTAATGCAGTAGCCATTCCACTATATCATGGATTCAGATATATCACATTTTTTTTGGTCCTCCAAATTTTAAAATACCAATTGCCATTGAATTTCTATTTGCAACAAAATACAGTATTTTTACCATTGTCCTTGAAACTACCACTGAAGGTGAAACAACAAATTCATCAAGTTCTAAATATGCAAAACAGGCAGATATAACAATTGTCATTTGTTTTAAATAATTATCTTTTGATATTAAAAATTGCTTATTTGTTAGTTTTAAGTATCATCTCCTCATTTACAAGTTTCTGTGAATTTGAAATTTCACACCTTTATGTAAATTGATGGTATTGTGTCAATTCACATAAAGGTGTAAAATTTCAAATTCATGGCATAATGTGTAAGGAAAAGATTTCTTTACTTCTGAATTTTTATACAGTAGTAACTTTATTTTGCTTTTTAGAGAATTTTTACTCTCCATAATTTTATAAATTTTGTTGGTTCTATTATATGTTCCATATTTATTTTTAAAAATTTTCAATTACATCATTTATAATCTTTACTGAAAAACATATTACATGAATTTTTAATAAGTGATTTATTGTGAAAATAAATCGCTTATTAAATACTGTATAATAAATCATAACTGATATTTTGTTTTTATATGGACAGTATTTGTCATTACATGTCATTGTTAAAGAAACAATGCTAAATGTGTGTTGATGGTATTGATGTTTATGTAAATGTTAATTAATATGATATAACCAAGAATAAAGTTCAACATTGAAAAACTAAGTTTATTTTATATCAAAAACACTTGCTGATGAAAAAATAGAGGATATAGATTGCATAGCATGTATAATCTGTCTAGTATAAGCCCCAGAATTTTTAGTACTCGGTTATATCGTACTTTTTTCTTTGTCTCCCGACAAGCGCGATATAACAAGAAGTTACTGTATTTCCATTTAATAATTATATAAACCATAAATACTTAAAAAGTATTTGGCATCTGTAATTATTCAGTAATGAAAAATGATGTTCTTTCATTCTGATTATTCTGGATGTTTTCAACTTCCTTCTTTTTTGGTTCCTCACGCTTTTGAACACTTTTAACACTAACAAGCATTACATGTGCTGCCCGTACTTTATTCATGTTCTTGCTGTTAATGGCCTTCTCCAGTTTTTTTTGTTTGCTGCTTTTAACAAAACTTGGCCTGTCGCATGTATTTCACTTTTTTCTACTTTTTCCTGGTTTAAGCACTCTTTCTGACATTGATGCTCTATCAGGAGGAAGTGCGCGGCATGAAATTGAAAATCCCCATTCCACATCAGCACTGCCATGAGAGAGGGTCAATGCCGATTTCACTAATTTGGCTACACTGGGATATCTATCATGATCAGAAATTGTTTATCTTTTGATGCTTTGAGACGTGTAAATATTGATTTCAAAATAAATTAATAAATCTGAAATAAACAGATTTTAAATAGTATAAGTATAATGTTTTATTAATGATTTCATAAATAACAAGGAACTTTTTCCTGCAGATGAATAAAGAGCAACATTGTTACAATGTTGTTAACCTTTTCGGAAGTGTGTGAAAATTTTTCCAGGCAGCAATCACATGTTTTACTTTTTACAACACTTAAAATTTACCAAATAAATTAAAAGATTCCATGTGTAAATATGAATTTACATTTTCGTTTACTTTTTTAGTCTCAATTAATGCACACTTATAATCTGCACAAGAGAAGAAATTAAAAAAATGGATATTTCACAAATAAAATAATCACACATTTTATGAAAATAATACTTACTACACAAAATAATTATACTTGTAGTCAATTTACAGATACATTTAGAAATATATAGACGTGATTAAACATTAACAATACGCTGTGAAATCATTAAAATAAATTTATTCTATTTAACTCAAGTTTATGAAATTATTTAAAGATAAATAAAGTAAAAAATATTCTTGTAAACAAGAACTCCTTAATCCAATTGTTAATTAAAACCAAATGATCTGCAAAATTATTGGGCTATAACAAGAATAATTAAATGGTCAGAAAAAAATAATTTGTCTAGAGTAGGAGGTTACGCTACTATCTCGTGTTAATTTTAATAATTATAATATATTGTTGCTCAAATGCTATTAAGTGTGACAAATTTAAACACTTGGTGTTTTTTCATCTTTATTTAGTTGATACTAAATAACTAAATAAATATTCAACTAAATAAAGATGAAAAAATGCCAAGTGTTTAAATTTGTCACACTTAATAGTGTTTGAGCAACAAAGAAATTACAAAACACGGTTTCAAATTATAAATAAAAAAATTATAATATATTTTAAATTTAGAAGCGGCAGCAGTGTTGTCAGCTTGAGAGATTAACCCTCGGCACAGCGTGTTTTCCCTACAAAGGAATTTTCTTAGAAAACAGCAAAAAACGTAGAGACGCTTAATTAAAATACTTATTTTTAATCCCCATAGATAGAAATGCAACTCTGAAGAACTAAATTTTGGCTAATAATGACAATGTGGCATGAGTACATAACTTTAATTGATATTGGCTCAATTTTGGCTTCTGAATTTGTAATGAGAGGGATTTTTTAAGTGCACGAAAGATTTTACATACATGAAAGGAATTTTTGTTTCCTATATCCTAACAACACTAAGCGGAAGTTGTAAAAAAATTTGAGTCCTGCTCAGGGCCGAGATTTTCTTCCAGAAAATTCTAGTCCGCTAGTCCAATAATTTGGCAGATCGTTTGGCTTTAAAATTATTTTTGATTGGTCTCACATCTTAATTGAGCATGTGGAAATGACCAAAAAAGTGAGAAAAGTGAGAAAATGACCTGAAAGGTGAAAAAAGTGAGTGACTCCGAAGCCTGATGTAAATGAAGATAATGTTGAAAAATGAATATGTATGATTAAAATAAATCATTTTTTACTATTTGTTAAAACTGGTCACATTCTAACTCCTCCCAAATTAATTTTATAAAAATAGGATCATATTTAACCACTGGGATCAAATGGAATTGTATACTATTTACAAATATCAAAAAATTACTTTAAATATTCCAATAATCTAAAATTACAAGGATTAAGGATTAATTTTATAAGGATTGTAATTCATTACTGAAGATATTGATTCGAGTTGTATATTAAAGAATTAAAAACCATATAAAGTATTCTTATACTTTGGAAACACAGTGTATTATCAAATAAAACAGAATTATTTGATAATGTAATATATTTCCAAATTTTAAAAATATATTGAATATTTAATATTAGTGGAATAAGAACAAAATTTGTTAACAACATTTTAACATACTTTTGTTTTTCTTTTACTCCTGTTTTTAATTTTCAAGTCATCTATTGTAGCAAATAACTGATCGGCCAATTTTGATGCTTTTGATTCTTCCAATAATTGTGATAATTTATCTGTTTAAATTTAAAATTTCATTAATTTTCAAATAAAGACTATAATTGAAATATAGTAAAATCACTCCTTACCTGTAGTTTTTCTCTTGTCATATCCAGAAGATAAACAATTCAGTGCAGCAGTTACGAGAGTTTGTTCTCGAAAACCAAGAAATTTTTGAACAGTGCGATCTATCCAAGGTTTTAGATCATCCAGATCTCTTCGTGATAAAGCCATTGCTGTAATAAATAATGTAAGTTTTTTTTAATATTTAAAATCATTTTAATCTCTTTTGTTAAAAGTAAAAATTAACTTAAATATATTTGAATATTTCAAATAAATTACATTAATGAATTTGACAGATTTTAATTTAATAATCAGTCAAATGTAAAATTATTCAATTATAAATATCAACTTCACAAAACCCATTGTACTGACACTAAGTCAAACAATCACCATAATTCAATTGGGCTATTAACATGCTATAATTATTAATTATAGCATATTAATAGCCTGATTAATTATGATGATCATTTGGCTTATTATTCAATTAATTAATTGTAATAAATTGTTATAACTTGCAATTTTGACTTTAGTAGTTCTTTAACTTAGAGTTATATTTTATTAGAAATTAGATAAAATTTCTAAATAAAAAAAGATGTTTAAAATTGATATGAATAGACATTTAGGTCATGCCACTCAAATTATAAACATATATTAAAAGTTAAAAAACAATCTGGTAATTTTTGGTAATTAATGATATTTTAACCACTCAACAGTGAGGGACGAATATATCCATCCAGGGTGATCGTGTGGCAGTGGTGCGGGAAGGATATATCCATTAAATTCTTTTGGGGTATCGCCAAAAACTAGCCAATAACTACCGCAAAAAAAAATTCACCTAAAAAATGAATTATGTAACAATAAAAAAAAACTTTTCTTTACTAGACATAACTGTTTATAAAATCTTTTCCCGAAATAGTAACAAGAAAAAACATGCGGAAAAATACTTTAAGAATTTCCCATGTTTATTCTCCACTACTTTGGAATAGCACCATACCTGACTATTCCACTGTTGAAAGGTTAAATAATATGAAAAATAAATTGACTGTCTCTAAATGAAGACTGTCTCTGAGTTGCTGATCCAGATTAGCTTATGAGTCACTTTTAGTTCATATTTATCTATATACAAAATACAATGGTGCCTTGTATAATGTACTTAATCTGTTCCAGGTGCACGTCCGTTAAGTGAAAAGTCCATTATATGAAACGCATTTTCCCACAGAAATGCACGTTAAAACATATAATTTGTTCCACAGCATAAAATAACCGTACTGTACCATAAAAAAAATGAAAATGGAGCAGTCACCAATTATGCCAAGTAGTCAGATGTTGTGAGGAGGAGGTGGAGGAACACTTTCTTCACACATTCATACAAATACAGACTTCTTACACATTGCAGCAGGTCTCTTTTTATTGTTTTTTAATCAGAGTCAGATTCAGGAGAGGCTACTGGAGCTTGCAGGGTCAACTCCTCATTCCATCCTTTGTTTTTTGGCAGCTGGCTTCTTGAAAAATATGTCCAAGGTGGTCTGTTTCTCTCTCTTCTTCAACACCTGTCGGAAATGACGGGCAAGGGTGTCATTGTAGAGATCATTGATCCTGTTGGCCTCAGCTCTGTTTGGATAATGAGTGTTGGTAAACTCCTTAACCTCTCCCCATTTGACAAGGAAGTTTTTGTCAACTTTCACTCCTTCTGATGATGTCTTGCTTTGTTTCAATTGAAATCACCTTTCTGTTTTTTTTAGAAGCCATGATTTGCACAAGACTTGAATAAATGTAAATACCCTGCACTGAGGTAATGTACGTAATAAACAAGGGAGCAAGCCGAATCCCAACGGGAGCTCTGTACTTCAGATATACGAATAATATATTCTAATAATACTAATATATTATAAAAATAGCAGATTGTCATTGGCAACGGCAAAAGAGTGGAAATATCACTCGCGCTTGTTCGCAGAAAGTCCATTGTTTGCTCATGTAACTGCTGAATGAAAAGTATGTTGTTCGCAGCCAGTCTGTTGCTCGAGTCAAGTAACGGCCAAACAGAAAGTCCGTTGTTCGCAGTGTCCATTATACGAGGCACCACTGTACCTAAAACTTCTACCCAAATCCTTCAAGATCAGTAGAAAAAAATCTAAACATTCTCAAAAGCTGGAACAGTCGATTAAAAATCTTCAGTGATCATTGATTGTTTTATATTGAATCATAAAGTAGATTACAATGAATAAAAAATAATTTTGTACATTTGGTACTTTACAGCAAAGCTCATTTTACATTTAAAATTAGTTTATTGGAAGTAGTTCAGTTCAATCTATAAGATGATGATAAACACATCTACTTGACAGTCATTTGAAAATTGGTAAAATTATAACTCTGAATGAAGTGGTTGGAACCTTAACATAGCCACAGACCACACCCATAGGAGGAAAAAGCAAAGGAACCAATGTCACACATGACCCCTTTCCAAGGTATATTCCTCCTAAACTGGCATACTGTATATCTGGAATTATGAAGATCCTCAAAATAAGGGATAAAATTTAAAAGTGAAAGAATCTGGAAATATTTCTCAAAACAATGCTAAAAATCAATTGTTTTACACTTTAATAGCAATAGCTAAAAGCTCATAAAACACTAGAAATACCATTGAACCAACTACTTCAAGGGAATATACTAAACTAGCTGTTACCTGCGGCTTCGCTCGCGCAGATTTTGCAAACAAACCCTATTTACATTCAATATTTCAACAACCATAGTAATTGTTATTTAACACCTACCGCTGAGAATGATGAGAATTGCCGAGAATCAAACAAACTGTTTTTAATTTGATCAATTTTCTGTAATGTTTACAATCATTCTATAATCGAACCAATATGCAAAAAGAAATTCAAATTTAAAATGGTTTGAACATTTGGTTAAAAAATCGAAATATATAAAAAATATTTATAACAATGTCTGAAATGTTATCAATTTAATACCCGTAAGTACTCAATGAAAACTAAACGTAATTAAAAACAAAAAAAAATTGCATCTAAAATAGTACAGTAGAAGCCGTTCTTCGGGTTAAGCCTTAATGCTCTCCGTCTTCCCCCCGCGAGGGGGGAATTTTGAAAAATCCCTTCTTAGTGTGCATTTTCATGAGGTACCCTAACTGTGTACCAAATTTCGTACCTAAGTTCTGGAATTTTCTAGAAAAAACTGAAACATTCTCATTGAAGCGTCACACATTTTCGAAGTCAACCACTTTCAAACCCCATATCTCTCACACCCTTATAGCTATCGAGATGCAACCACCATAGTGCACGATGGGAGACTTGGGGCTACTACCACACAAAAACACCATTCATGTGCAATGTGTAGTTTTGGCTGCAGAGTGACGTATAGGCACAAACACGTCCATTTTTATATATAGATATAGATAATCCTGCAGTTTATGTTGGTCAACATTGACTGCAAAAAACAAACAAAACTGAAGATGGATTTCACTATGCAGAAAAATATATATACAATATACCAGGTAACAATGTTTAGACAGAAAAGAAATTAAATTGCACGTGCAGTTCTGTGGTGGCACTGGTAGTCCACCAGTGAGATAGTGATAAAAAGGTAAACAATTAAGAGTTTGGTGTTATTTTAGATATAGAGGGCAAACAGCAATAGTCCATGAAAAACCAGATTTTTCTTATGAAAACCTCTTAAAGTGGGCAAAAATACCACAGAATTGCTCTGCAAGTGGTCCATAACATTCAAGAATCACCCGAAACCATCTCATGTGTATAATCACAAACTTAATGCAAAAACTTGAAAAACTGGTTCTATCCTTGGTGCCTGTAAGGGAAAAGTTGGTTGAAAAATTACTGCAAGGACAAAACATTTGGATATATCACGAGGCCCCAAAATCAATCAACAACCTCAAAACTGCCATTGTTAAAGCTTTCAATAGTCTCCATAGCAATATTTTGCCAAAGGTCATTCATAACTATTCCACGTGTCTTCTTCACATCATCGCATCCAGAGGCAGTCACTTCGAAAACCTCATCAGTCAAATGCCTTTTATTTAAAGTAGACACTTAACAGTTTTATCATTGTATCTGTTACAATTCTCTTTAAATAAATTATTTTGTTTGTCTGAACATTAATCGTCACCCATATACCTATCATTGTCTTTAAATATCAGTCAATGTTGACCGATACATATTATATACTTCACCGTTGTATGTTGCAAAGGGTCATATACACAAAAACTTCTCTAACTCAAAGCTCCAAGAAGCAGGAAAACACTAAGTTACAGACAAGTCAGAGAACAATAGAGTGAAAAATGCTAATTCTGAATAGATTTTGTATTTTTACCTCTCTTGCACTATATAAAGAATCTTTGACAGATGTTTTAAACAGCCCATGTAATGTCTTTCGGAAAAACGTTCAGCATAAATAATGGAATCAAATAGTTTTGCAGATACATCTTGTGGCCTGAAACATCATCTGAAATGGGTGTTCTACCATAGATAAAACCATCTGCAAAATTTCACAAAAATCCAATAAGCAGGACCACTCTGAATAGAATAAATGTTAAAATTCAAGTTGAACAAGTCAAAAGTAACGTAAATCGGTGTCGGAAACAACGGAAACCTCGGACCTGGAGACATTAAATCCGGATGCTATTCCATCAAGACCTACCGAGTGCTTCATTTTCTTTGAGTTAAAGAAATATTCAAGTTAGAGAAGTTTTACTGTATAGATCACAGGTTCCTTTGACATTTTTTGTTCCCACAGGGGGGTCGCCACTCCCCCTCATTCGAAGCTTGAATCTTACCTTCATTTCGTTATAAACTCGTCTGTAAAATTGTTACCTGTGAACAGGGGAACTCCAGGACTGTGGCTCCCCCTGTACGACTTTCTAAAAAAATAAATTGGTCCTAAACAACTGTTTACGTAATGTTTGTAGTCTACAATTTATTATATATTTTGATGATTAACACTAGCTCTTAATCTCGCGTAAATTCGATATTCGAATTCTAAAAGCTCAAAATCGATCTACGGACGTGTTTGTTTGATACATTCGTTCATTGCACTTCAGGGTTAAGTTTATTTACATACATTTAACGAAATATAAGGCTTTATTAACTAAAATCTATCGTTATTAACGGCCGAGGATAAACGTAACAAAATTTTAATTACCTGACGATTCAAAATGTTTGTTTAATCCAAAATTATTACGGTGAAATAAAGTATTACAGACGATCCGCCATTTACCTATTTTTTCCACTATCCGTCACTAGATGGCGCATTCCGTGATCGTCTGCCACTTTGAATATTTTTAATTAAATAAAACTGTGCCAAAACATCTTAAAATTATTTATATGCAAATTATTTTATATCACATTTAAAAGTTTGGTGTTATTTTATACTTCTGGAATCGAAGACTTGCTTGGGATTCGGGTAGCGCAAATGGCAACTGCACCGCACGGCAAACGGAGGTTGCGCGTTCAAGCCCTGGTCAGTTCTTTTATTCCAGAATGTTCTAAATTATTTATTAATTTATTAAGAATTATAATTATTTAGTTAAGAGATGGCGTCTAACGCCTTATTCTAGGGACAAATTACTTTAATCATTTGATTAGCCAAATTATAGCCCGATCTTTAATTTCAGTAACGTAGCGTTTTAATACAACATCGAACTAATGCTTTCGACCTTACCAAAGGTTCTTAAACTTCAAGTTCTTAAACAAATTGTATTCCAAGGTTTTAGTAATGATGTTTGTTGGTACTAGGGATCCCGGGTTCCCGCTGTTTATTCCCTACAAGAAAAATCCTGGGAATTTTTTTCTCGGAAAATCTCGCATTTCAATAATAATTTATCATGTCAGGTTTTCTTTCTACCATTTATTATACGAAAAGTTGCATTTTGAAGACTCACCTAAGAGAGATATTTTGAGGTTTCATGCTGCATATTATTACCTATATTTTTAAAGTCTTTACTTGTTAGTTCATGTTACATCTAGGGGAGCATTCGTTAATAGCAGTTGCTCTGCGTCTCCGCTACTATGGGAGTGCGCTACTGTTTGAAGGCATTTAGGAACGACGGTGAAAGAAAGAAAGATGGCGGCGCTCGCACTATCAACAGTATCGTGATTGAGGAATCTATAATTCTAAAATAAGCTTTTAAAGACAAAAAAAGAGTCCCAATTGTAAAATTTAACCATAAAATGGATTATTTGTTGAAAAAGCATTCAAAATAGTCACGAAAAAAATTAGAATGCCGGCTACCATCCGAAAAAAATTCGAAAAGACACTTACATCACCGCGTGCACTAACTTGCGCTTTCACAATTTCTAAATTTTCATTCATAAAACCACATAATGGACCCCGAAACGAAACTATTTGACCCATGGAGGACGCCATGTTGCTTTCCACCGCAAACTACTGCTACAAGCGGCCGTTTTTGCCGTTCGACGGCGCGCACTCCGACCGGAATTTAGGAACGCGTTCCGCAGGAATTTTTAAACCGATGTCGCTTGCGCGGAGTTCCGCGGAGGAATAAAAGAACGCACCCTATGTATTGTGTTTGCACATCATTTAGCATCGGAGCACTTGCTGAAAGTAAATATCACTCTTCGCACTTTAGTTTCGAATTCGCATTTATAAATTAAGGAATTTGTAAAAGCTTACATTCCCATTAATATCCTATCGTTTGTAACTATAACTGTGATTACAGTCGACCCCCCTATAACACCCATTAAAACTCCCATTGAAACTCCCAGCAACATTAAAACTTCCAATGAAACGCTTTATTTTACTTTCATCTTATAATGTAGGAGAACATAAATTAATTGAGCCTAACGCGTTCGTATGGATGAGATTGGCCCTAAACTTTCAGTTACTTACTAGAAAATAAATTAAATTATTTAAATTTATGATATTCCTGTATGATATTTTTTATTCATATAAAATTCTATTTTACTATCTCATCCCGGAATTTCCTGGGATCCCGGGAAAAAAAATTATTTTTCCCGTAATCCCTCTGGAGCCAAATTTCCCAGGAAATGAGAAATCCTAGTTGGTACCAGTAATTAAACAAGAAGATATTGTTATGTGTAAGTAACAAATATATTTACAGTCGATCGCTCTATAACGCGGGTTTATGTAACGCGGATTCGTATATCGTGGAGAAAATTGCGACCGCATTCGTATAAAGACGCTAACAGAGACTCGTAAAATGCGGTAAAACGTCATCGTCGACTTGTGTCGCGACAGGATTGGTCGAATCTGGACTAATAGTGAACGAGCAGCCGAACTACTTACACGTTAGGGAGAGTTTAGGTGGATAAGTTGAGTTCACTATCGTCTGTACAGTACAGCTCTCCCTTAATAGTCCGACAGGTATGGGAGCAAAGGGATGTTGGATTACCAAAAGTGTCCGGATTACCGACATTAATTACATATTTTGCATTGTTTTGCTAGCAGTAGCTTACAATATTCTCTACTCCAACTGTTCGAACAAAATTGCTCATAAAAAACACACGAAATGTGTATCGTCGTGTAAGAATTGGATGGGGAGATTCACGTCGCAACATGCTTCTGTGCAAGCAGACACATAACGGGGACGGGTACCTTGACGGGACANAGTTGGTTAAAAGCGATATACTAATATACTAATTACATGGGATATACTAATATACTATACTAATAATGTATTTTTTCATATTTTTCGATTATCCGTTTTTTTCAGTTATCCGAACAACCCCAGTCCTCAATTGAGTTCGATAATCGATGCTCTACTGTATTTTTTTTTAAAATCAATCTTTTAAAAATAGTAAAAAATTTTTTTAAAAAAGATGATATATTTCTACCCCCTCACGTGTCACTCATTAGCGAGGTTGCGGCCGAAGTTTTTATCTCTCAAACGTGAACGTCGAACGTCGAGCGCCGCTATCTTGTAAGCCGCTTACAAGATAGCGGCGCTCGACGTTCGACGTTCACGTTTGAAAGATGAAAACTTCGGCCGCAACCTCTCTATTGTATTACATTCAAGTAAAACTCACTCAGCAAAACGTAAATCAAATCACCACACCTTAAGTTGCTAAGAAATTTAATAAAAAAATGCAACAAACGTTTTCAGCCAAATCTGTTGGCCATCATCAGATTAAGTGATTGATAATAAAGATTGACAGTCGGTGTAGGGAGGGTAAGTAAACGAATGACAAGGAATCATTCATTTTTCCCAGGAAGTTAACGGGTGGTCCTTTCGAAGAACGAACTGTGGCCAACTTACAGAATGGGTGCGTTTACTTTTTGCTAGCTTCCAAGCTCGCCGAGCTGACACCTAGCGCAGCCTAACGTCATACTAGCACGCTCGTAAAAGTATACACAGTAATGGTCGCCGTCATCATTGAACAAACTCCAAGCTCGTTGTAAATTCTCCGAGCACACCGAGCGCGCTAAGAATGCTAGCAATGATGTCACGGGTGCGAAAAGTAAAAGCCGTGCTCATTGGTAGGCAGGACCGGCCTTCTCTATAAAGGGGCCCGGGTGCAAGAAACTATTTGGGCCGTACATTTTTTGTAAAATAAAAAAAATTACAAACACGAACATATATTAATGCATGTTTATTTAAAGCGTGATTTTGTTCTTGATAATACATGAATTACTTCAGGAAAATTATAATTTTTGCAATTTCTTTTTCGATGCTTAATATAGCAAATGCATGAAGCGTTCTGCACACATGCTGGATCGAAGATAATTCTTTATTAATTTTAATTTGCTGAAAGAGCGCTCAGCGCTTGCTATAGTAACTGACAACGCAAAGAAAAGTTTTAACACGGTTAAATAACTCATTATAATTATTATTTAGTATGTATTGCATATGTCTTGTGCGTTATTTACATCCCTTTCATTCAAAATCAAATCCCGTAGCAAACCAATTTCCTGGATTAGGTTTTCATCTACATCTTTGTTATAAAACTTTACAAAGTTTTTGGAACATTTTTCTAATTCGTGTTTTTCTAAGGTTTTCATATCAGTGATTAATTTGAAATCAGAAATAATATTTGATATACTTTTAAATCTATTTGTACAATAACAGTATCAATTAGAGTGTTAAAAAAAATAACATCTAAAATTACTCTACCGGATTTTCTAAAGCTTCATCTGCTATTTCGGAATATAACCTTTTCCCTTTTCGTATTCGTTTTTCAGGAAAATGTTCTGAAATATTCAAATTACGTGCTAGCACTTTTACTTCGTCTAAAAATGTGTTAAATTTTCGTTCTTAAATTTTGGATTTCAGTTTTAATTTTATTGACTAAATTAAAAGCCGNTCTTTTTGTTCACCTGTTATTATTTTTTATATAGAGATAAATTAAATGATAAGGTATTTTATTAATATGTATATATTAATAAATAAGTCGACTTCTTTCCTGAAAAAATGAGTTCACACCTCAAGGTAAGCTGGTGGTGTGAACTCATTTTTTCATTTAGGAAGTCGACTTATCAGACGTCTAAACGAGTGTGGCAAAGAAAATGTATGTCTATTTATTCAGTGGTGACGAGTATAGCACAGTTTTTTTTAACATTAATTCCTATGAAAGTCAGCCGGGACCACACAAAACTGACTACTTAACCGACGGTGTCTGGTTATACCTATGACGCCTTATGCGGACTCGACTGTATTATTATTTAACGAATGCTTAATATTTTGAATTCTTTTGCTATGTATTCAATATCATTTTGCAGATGGCCCAGATTTGGAAGACTCACCATAGTAGTATTAATGTTAACAGGGATTATCATGTACATAGTTGATGTAGTTTCGAACAGATATTACGTGATGTTTGGAATACCTGCAGCTTCTGAGTATAAAATTTTAACTTTTTTTGTTATTTGATAATGTATGGTTATTACTAAAAGAAACTAATTTATATTTTCGTTTATTATTGTAGGAAAACCTATAAATATTTCGCTGATAATTATACTAAACCATATTATTCCCATCTTGGTATTTATTGTTTTGGTGCTTTAATTGGATATATATTAAGAAATAAGAAATATGTGACATTTGGAACGGTATACTAATTTTATTTTTCCTTTATATTTATTATTATTATATACATATATACACGAGTAATTATTTATTTTGACATGGGCATAATTCCGGCTGTAATTTTAGTCACATTTTAAAATTTTATTTTTCCTTTATATTTATTATTATTATATACATATATACACGAGTAATTATTTATTTTGACATGGGCATAATTCCGGCTGCAATTTTAATCATATTTTTAATGTTTTTA